CGCCATTTGCACTCTCCAACCAACACTTTCATTTTCATTGGGCCATGTTATGTTGGTTTGGAGAGGTATTCATAGCACAAGCAAGCTTATGTGGCCCAATAAAAAAAAAGCATGTGTTGGGTGGAGAGCGCAGGAGGCGAGTGCCCCTAGCACTGCTCTTAATGCGAAAGAGCCCGATTGAGTTTTTCGGCGCTCTGTTTTGTTGGTGGTTCTGGTTCGATCTGGTTTGATTTAGGTTAAATCTCCGGTTCAGTTCCTCAACTTTCATTTTTGAACTAAATATACCCTCAAACTTCAAAAAATCCTAAAAAAATCCCTAAACTTCAATTTTTGGGACCCATTTTATCCTTCTGTCAGTTAAGTGCTATGTGGCAAACTTCTCCGTTAAGAAATTCAATTTCTATTAATATTGAATGTAACGTGGAAATAAAATAGGTGATATGACATCTTTTAATTATAAAAATATTATGAGGTGACAACATGAATATAATTTAATAAATAATTATTAAATAAAAATTTCTTTCCTTCTTTTTTCTTTTTTTTTTTCCCTTCTCTTTTCTTTTCTCTTTCCCCTACCTACTGGGTTCAACCCAGCACGCTTGGGTTCGATGGAACCTAGGTGGGTTCAACTCGAACCAGGGCGCGAGTTCTTTCAAACCCAGGCCCTGGGTTCAACCCAGCACGCCTGGGTTCGATGGAACCCAAGCGCAGGGTACCTTTGAACCTAGCACACTTGGGTTCTTTGGAACCTTCTTCATTCTTGCTTTTTGCTTCTTCTTTTCTCTTTCGGTATTTTTGAAAGAAATCTCATGATTTTTTCTCATTGGTTCTCATTTTCTTCTTTTTTTCTTTTGTTTCTTTGTTAGCTACAGTCATGCTTAGCTATCTTGCTTTGGGATTTAGAGTTTTGTGTGGCTTCTGCTTGCTTGAATTTCAAGATCTAGCTATTGTTGGTGTTGATTGAAGGGATGTTGTGTTTTTCATATTTTCCTTTTCTTTTATAGATTTGGTATAAATTTGCAATATGATTGATTTGTTGAATCTTTACAGATTTAGTATAAATTTGCAGTGTAATTGATTTTTTGAACCAGATCTATTGACCATTATTATTGTGCGAGGAACCAAATTTGGGTTCCATTAGAGAGAAGGTTTGAGGAAGAAGGAGATGGTGATTGGAGTGGTAACGAATGACCAGAGCAATGAGAGATGAGCGGTGCTGAGTGGGTTACAAGATGAAGAGGCATCTGAGGATAGAGAGAGACAAGAAAGGAGAAAAAGAGGGGCTGGAAGATGAAGATGGAGGTATTTAAGGAATTTTCAAAATTTTAATATATAAATTAATTCAAATGACATGAATAATAAAAATACAATAGTGAGTTAAGTTATTTTTCATGTAATTAAAGATTTCAAACAAGAATTGATTTTGTGGCAACTTAACATGCCATTTGGCACTTCCGTTAACGGAAAGACGAAATTGGTCTCGAAAATTGAAGTTCAAGGATTTTTTTAATACTTTTTGAAGTTTGAGGGCAAATTTAGTTCAAAAATGAAAGTTAAGGGACTGAACCAGGAATTTAACCTTTGATTTATGCTGGTTCGGTCTGATTTACTTTTTGTTGGTTCATA